GGTTTTTTATTTCTTAATGATATTTACAACTGTATTAAAGAAATACATTTAGTAAATTTGAATATATGGATATAATGAGGTGAAAACACTTGTTGAGAAACTACCCAATGGTAGCACTCTAATGATATGTCTACATTAGGAGATCACGGGGCCATCTTCTTTTCAGACGCCTCGGAGGGTTATCAGAAATTGAAGAGGAAGCAAGGTTAGAAACGAGAGGGTTGGGATGATTCTGAAGTTTATTATGGAAGGATAGGTATCTGGATTGGGCCAGATCTGAAAAATAGAAACATTAAGGTCATTATGGATGGTTTTATTTGTAAACAGTAGCGGTACGTATTCCCAACGTGTCAACGCACTGTTGAAACCCCGTATGCCAAAAATGTCAGGAAGGAGGTAAAAAAAAAAAAAGATTTTATTTGTAACAAAGTAGGGAGCATTGAGGATTTTACGAAGGATTTTGGATTGTAAGAATTGGATACGAGAGAAATTCGATGGTTTAATGGAGCCCCATAGCTCAACCTCGTAAATTCAAATAGCCCTTATTATAGACATGTAATGAGTCTTTTGTAATTAATTGGAAGTTTAGAGCGTTTGTCTATTAAGTGCTGAAGTAATCGGAAACGTCGAGCGGTTTCTTGTCGTTTCAGTCTGGTATGTCAATGAAGGTACATTAGCTCCGACTCAATAATTAAACAAGTTATTCTGTTACTTTATCTTAAGTAACCTAAAATAATCACTGTTTGTAATTTCATATCTACTTAGGATCAGATATATAAAGATATTTATTAATAGTTTTAATAAAATAGTTCCTAATATTACTTATTTTCATTTCGAACACTGCTTTATCGATCCCTACCAAAGATCCCTTAAAAACCCAATTATCAGAATCCAGACCCCGAGATAGGACCAGCGATACTTAGTGAGATTAGCTTACGATCCTCCAATCCTACCAGCCTAATCCGCAACCGTAGCCAAGCATTCAGGATTAAGTGAGGCTCTAAGGCTACCGTGTAATTGTGGTCTGTGTTTTTTTTTTCCTTCGGATCCGTTTTATCTTATCTTTCGTATTTGTTCTTTTATTTTACTTTTATTCTCAGAAACAAAATTTTATAATAGTTTTAAACAGAATACTTTTTATTTTATTTATTTATTGATTAATTTAATATTCTGTCACATGGACAATAATTATATTGAGGTTAGACTACATTCACGCTATAGATACTGTTGGGGCCAATGGTACTTCTAAATCGAAGTACAAATCTTTCCCCGGTGAGTTTTCTCAAAGGTGGGGAAAATTCGAGCAAAATTAAATGATGGGAAAGAAGGGAAAAAATGTTTATGGAAATGAGACATACTGCAAAACATGAAAAATGTGCATCCACAAGAAAAAATTAGAAATATTCAATTTGTAGAAATGAAAAATAAATATAAATTCTCCTTTTTGGAACGTTTTCAATATTTATTATTCAATAAAAGAGATATATACAAAAGTTAAAAACAAAATAAACAATGGAAAAAGATTATTGAAATGCACTAAAATACACTGACAGGCAAAAAATTCCACCTACTTGATTTTTTCATATTTTCATCTAAAAATATTTCTGCTTTGGATTGGTCTATTGTTTTTAATGAATAAATAGGTAATATTTTTGTTTGTTTTCAATTTGGAATGTTAATATAGAGGACAATAACTCTTAATCCCTAATTCAATAAAATGATTCAGTATCATTTCAACAACTCCTAAGATTCCGTGATTGTATTCCTCTAAAAACCAGACAGCTCCTTGTAACCTTTCTTGTATTCTCCCACTTCGACTACGGCTGTTTGGTGTATGTAGGGCTATCTGCCAGGCTGGAAATGAGACTGAAGAGACTCATGAATTGTTTCATAAGATACATCTTCGGGATCCCCAGGCGTTCACATGTTATACTCTGGTACACCGAGTTGAAGTGGCTTTATCCTACTTCCTGACGACAATTCCTCCTTGGTGTTTTCCTTTTCCAAGTCTTCAGAACTAAAAACCCTCCCTAAATCCTGGAACTCCTTACTCTGCGCTCCTCTATCCACTCTCTCAATACTAGGTCTCAACCTATAGACTTATATATTCCCTCCCATAAAACTTCCTCCTTCAGCAAATCCTTCGTCATTCGTGCTTCTTCCTTATGGAACTCACTTCCTACCCCCATGCGTCAATCCTCATCCACAAATTCCTTCAAACAACTCCTGTTCCAACACCTACTCCACATTCAAACTTCCCCTAACATGTAAAATTACTTGCATCTATAAAATGTTTAATTTCAATCCATTGCACAATTGAAATAACAATTAACAATAAATTAGTTGGTATTTTTATTATGTCAGACTAAGATACATAAATTTGTAACTCTGTTATTATTCTTAGGGGACAGTAGTCCCACAATAAAATTATTTTTTCAATCATTTCGTTCATTCATTCATATCATTAGTTCAGTGCCGTTTCTTGCAGCACATTTCTTAGTCTCCGGCTTTTAATTTTTTCAATATTAAGTTTAAAAATGCCTCTTATTGCTGAGGATGTTGCGCGTGGTTTGGTCTTATTGATGATGGACGTTCCATTAGATATGAAGCTAATTCCATCGGAGTTCCATATGAAACTACGAGATGCCGTCAGGCATAGTTCAGACGTTCCTTCAACAGAACAATATTGAGGTTTTAGCCTGGCCAGCACGTTCTCCAGATTTGAACCCCATTGAGCATTTATGGAATAACCTCGGAAGACGAATAAGAGCGCGTGCAACACTTCCTGATACACTGCAGGACCTTGAAAGGGCGCTTCGGGAGGAACGGGCTATCCTCCAGCAAAGGGACATTTCCCGACTGGTGGAAAGTATGCCGAGGCATCTTCAAGAAGTAGTGAAGGCAAGAGGAGGAAACAAGCGCTAATAAACGATGATGTAATTAATTTCTTTTAGAATAATAATGGTTCGTTTTTCAATTTTTTTTTCTCTAATCTTTCTTACCGAATCACATTTTGATTATTAAAGGTAAAAAAGATTATAAAATTCCATAAATACTAAGTATTATCTACAAATACCCTGTATTATAAACAAATACAACTTTTTTTACAAGTGGGTAAAATATTTTTAGATGAAAACATAAAAAATCAAGTGGGTGGAATTTTTTGCCTGTCAGTGTAAAATGAAACATAAAATACAACGTTCAGTGAAAATAAAACCAAATTAACCATTAATAACAAAATATCAACTTCCAAATTTAAAGAAAAAAATAACTGTCAATGAGAATAAAACTAATTTATCGTAAGAAACAAATCAAATTAATATTTAAATGTTTTCGGTAACGGTGAGAATAAACAAAACAAAAAAAAAACTAGCCAAGTTGGAGGTTCTACTTCCAACCCGGATACCTTCTACGATGTTTAGCTGTCAAAGCAGTCGATGGTGAGGGGGAGCGATATACATATCCTTATCGATGACTCGCGATGATACATACAGCTGGGATCTTCAAAATGGCGCAGGTGCGGTGAAGATGAGACGAGGCGAGCCTGGAGCTTGGTGAAAATGGTGGGGGTAAACGTCCAACACAAACGAAAGACAGGTCCAGACTGCCTTTTCGGCAGTATTATGGCATTATTTTGATGTCTTAATCCCTAAGACAGGGTATTACTGCCGGGCCGCTGTGTATATACAAAGCGATAATAAATCGCTAATAATACCCAATATTTAAATACTATAAACTAAGATACATCATAGAAACAATTGTCCCTCAAACTTTTACAAAAAAAAATAAATAAATAAACATTTTATTTAACTAACATTTAAAAAGGGACAGTGAGAAAAAAAATAAAGATCTGAGCGTATGCGGCGTTAACAGATACAGAAAATATAGAATAAAAATAAACAAAATGTAAGTAATAATAAAAAAATATATACAATAAATAAAAATAAAATAACTTAAAGATAAGTAAATTAAAAATAAAACACAGAAATACCCATTTACAATTCCAATTCTAGGGAATTCTAAGCCAGGCTTGTTCCTCCAACTATAGAGGAAAAAGCAGAAATCAAGTATATCCCTGCGCTACCCTCTGAATCGCGTTACTGGTACTAGGAGAATTTTTCTGAGATAAGGTCTAGGACAAATGGGATATTAAGGCCATGGTGAAGGGTTTGTTGGTTACATAGAACGGAGTATCAACAATTGTTCGAAGGAATTTAGACTGGAAGGATTGGATCATTCTTATTTTATTTTTAAAAAATTTTACGGTCCCGAACAGTTCTAATCTGAAGGTTTCAGGAATGTCTTGTATATCAGTAATTTGTTGGCAATTGACAGTCGAAATTTTCTAATCAGTAATCTGTATTGTTGGCCACCGAATACTAAGTGATAATTTCTAATAAATTCAAAGATTACTACTTTTTTTAAATTTCAACTGGACAAACGTCTCACTTGGAATATTCATACTAGACTTAAACGGCAAGAAACTGCTCGAAGTTTCTGCTTACTCCAATACTTACTGGACAGACGCTCTAAACTTCCTATTAATTACAAAAGACTCATATTTATGACTACAATAAGGCCTATTTGGATTTAAGGAGTTGAGCTATGGGGCTCCACTAAACTATCGGATTCCTCTCGTATCCAATCCTTACAATCCAAAATCCTTCGTAAAATTTTCTGTTCCTTACTTAGTCACAAATAATCCATGAAGACCTTAATATTCCATATGTTTCCGATTTGGCCCAATCCAGATATCTATCCTTCCATAGTAAACTTCATAATCATCCGAATCTTCTCGTTTCTAACCTTGCTTCCTCTTCTATCCTTGATAACCTTCCGAGCCGTCTGAAAAGAAGATAACTAGACTTAAAAATTTTAGTTTTATTTGTTCTCATGTCACTGTATTACTATTTATCTCATTTACTAGATGTTTATTTGTTGTATATAATTGTAAATTTAATAAATAAATAAAATTATTAAATTTAAACTTTGTTTTGCAGAGCTGGGAAGCGCTGCCCCCAGACACGGCCACGTTCACACCCGACATTACTCCGCTGATCCTGGCGGCTCACAGGGACAACTACGAGATCATCAAGATCTTGCTCGACCGGGGCGCGACTCTTCCCATGCCTCACGACGTCAGGTAACATACAAATATTTTAATTTTTTAAAAAAGAAAAGAATTTATTAAGGCTAATTAAATAAATATATATATAAATATATTCCCCCCTCTACCGTGGTTCGGTGTGAGAGTCCTGCTTAAAGAGTCTGGCCCAGCTGTTTCTCTCCTGCACCAACTCTATTCTCCTACTCCAATCCATGCCGCGTTTCCTGAATACCTCCTTTACGCTGTCTCCCAGGAGATGCGAGGACTTCCTCTGGGTCTTTCCCCTTCCGTGAGGTTCTCGTAAGTCTTCCTGGTGTTTCTATCTGGGATCCACCATAAGAATATGTACAAAACACTGCTCCTTCAGAATGTTCTCCGCCAGTTTGACGTTGATATTACCCCGTATGGTGTCGTTCCGTATCTTATCTCTCCGTGTCTTTCGTTCGATTTTATGCAGATACCTCATTTCCATGGCTTGTATATTGTATTTGTGTTTTGTGGTGAGAGTCCACGATTCTGAAGAATACTACAGGACAGGGAGGAATGTCGATTTATAGACGGCTAGTTTGGTCCACTTTGACACCTCTCTTCTTCCCAAGAAACCCCGCCCGACCATACTGAACATCCTCCCTGCCCCTCCAATTCATTGGGCCACTTCATCGTCTATGTAGCCACTCTCATTGAGATGAGCTCCCAGATATTTAATAATATGGCATAATTCAAATTCAAGAGAAATTTAAAAGCATAGGTTTATGGCTGAAGGCAATGACAATAGTTGTTACTAAGTATAAACTTTTAATCTTATTGAAACAACTTATATATAAATACCACAAGAAACACGTCATGTATCTACATTCCAGCATACATCTTTAGTTGACTGCTAACATCATCAAATCATAGCCCAGTTGCACCGACCGTTGTTGAATTTAACTTTACTTATTTTGATTATTTTAACACTGATTAAGAGAATTTTCTTTGCACCAATGTCGATAAACTTAACAATGTTATATGTTATCATAACTAGCTAATCTAACGTTACAGCTTGGTCAAATCTTTTAACGTTACGTAAGATTGCAGTTTAACATTTTATTACACTTTAATGTTTGATCAACATCTGCCTTGGAATAATCACATTTCCCAAATTATCCGAAAGTCCATTGCTACCCTTAAACAGGTCCTGAGATTCCGTGACTCTATACCAAATCCGTTACCTCCTAGTCTCCTCTCTCATTATCTCTCACTTTGGTTATAGCTGCCTTGTATACGGCGGACTGTTTGGTGGAGATCAGATTAAAGTGGCTAATGCATTGTTTCATCAGATTTATCTTTGGAGTCACTAGTCAGTAGTAGTTTCTATGGCGAGTTAAAGCGGCTCTGTCCAGTCTTCCGACGGCAATACTTTCTAGGTGTATTCCTTTTCCGAACCTTTACAACTAAGAAACCATCTTACTTTTTTGATTTTTTTACTCCTTGTCCCTGTTTATTCCTTCTCATAAAACTGTTTCCTTTAAAAAAATCCTTCGTCATACGTACTACCTCGTTTTGGCAAAGACACAAAACATTTTTATTAAAGGTTGCATGATAGGTAAATTGCAATAATTCAAACCAAAATAATCAAAATTTATATTACAGTATATAATAAGTTATAAATACAATAAAAATAAGGACAATATATATACACAAAGTTTAAAAATGGATATATTTTAATGAAAAGTGGCTGAATTAAATTGTTTAATAAATTCTTGAAAATGGTTCAAGCCAAAACGGCATTATTTACAGCCAAAACGTTGGTAAATACAAAAATAATATAAAGACGTATTTTATTAGTGACCTATGGCCTAAAATCTATTAAATAAAATGGTACAGAACGCAAAAAAATAAGACAAAAACAAATAAGAAAGATCCTTCTGATTTTTCAGTAGTCAGGTAAATAAACTTCAATACATCGATAATATTGTATAATGTATAATATATTGATATACTATAAATTACCATTAACCTTTATCAAATACCATCGATCTGAAGAATGCCTGCTACAAAAGAAAAGAAGTGACGATATAGCTTTGTTATCTCCTGGGGCCATTGTCCTGTCAAACGATGCTATATCAAGGATATATATCCAGGACTTTAAAGGATATTAAGTCCTTCATAACTTTTTTTTTAAGTACAGCCATTTAGTTCCTCTCTAAGGGAGGCAAACCTGGTACTAGCTCTCGTAAAAATTCAAACTTGGAAATAACACTTAATAAAAGTTGAATGGTAGATGTGACCCCGATAACTGGTCGTGGTTTACTCAGCCACTAAAAATATCCATTTCTTCTCCAGCGTACTCCAGTCAAGTGCTTCGGATCTCATTATTCCAGATCGTTAGTGACCAAGGCTATCTCCTGTTTGTATACCCTTAGCTTAGCTTGCGTCCTGCAAGGAGGGCGACTATTACGTCGATAAGAGGGTGGTAAGTTATCCTGAAGTACCGGGCTTGACATGGTTATATTTACAGAGGATATAAAGAAAAGTTATGTTAGGTTTACTTTTAAATCTGGCTCCTTTTAGTGTAGAACAAAAGTTTATAAAACATCAATTTTTTCTTTGTTTTTATCTCCGTTTTTCTATTCATAACTATCACAGTAACAAGTGAGAAAAATTATTGGTGAGCGGAGTGGCCGAATGGGCTAACGTGTGTGCACAGCACCGCGAATTGCCCGGCAACCAGATAAGCAATTAGTCAATTATGAAAGATTATGATCATAATGCAATTATATAATTTGCTTTTCTTTTGTTCATATAATTATGAAAAGCATCTTAAATATCATCTCTAGTCCACCAGTCTTCGTCCACAGCTATAGATCTTCTTGTGGTCAGAGTAATGTGAAATGAAAATGAAAATGAAAAAAAATGTTTTATTATTCTGGGACTGTTGTCCCTTAAGAACAAAATATGAATACAGATTATATGTCTGTGTGGCTACAATTGAATTGTATATTTACAATGAAAGTTGACTTACGATAAAAATACAGAAAAGAGAAAAAAAAGAACAAGTAAATTGTACATATGTATGAGAAACTAAAATAACCTTAATAAATTGAGGTAGTCTCTGGTGGTGCTCAGATATTTCTCTAAGATATATTTCACAATCATTCGGATTGAGAAAGGAGTAGGTGCTTAAAGAGGAGTGGTTTAAACGAGGAAACTGATTGAGCGTGTCGAATATCAGGTGGGATGGAATTCCAGAGGGAGGCGGCTTGTATTGCAAAGGATTTGTCAAACGCAGCAGTTCGGTGAGGAGGAGGATAGAGGTCGGAAGTACGAGATCTGGTGGGACGGGATTGGATGGAATATTTGAATTGTAAGCTGTGAAAAATGTAGGAGGGTCGATGGGTTCTAATAATTTGGTACAGAAAGGTGGCTAGGAAGTACTGACGGCGATAGGATGGGTAGAGCCACCTCAACTCAGTGTAATACTGGGTAATATGCGTATCCCTTGAGATTCCGAAAACAAATCGTAGTGCGCAATTCATTAGGCGTTTAAGTTTGGCCTCGGAATCTCCCGGGAGTCCACCGTACACCATACAGCCGTAGTCGAAGTGGGGGAAAACAAGGGAGGAAACTAGGAGTTGACGGGACTTATATGGAAGGAGATATCGTAGACGATTGAACTGTTTTAGGGTGGAGATAGTGCGACGGGAAATTTGGGAGATGTGAGGTTTCCAGGATAGGGATTGATCGAAAGTAACACCTAGGTTTTTAACGGTGGTGTAGAATAAGATAGGTGAGTTGTTCAGGAAGAGATTGGGAGATACTGGGGAGGATTTGAGGAGTGAAGGGGATCCGATCAAGATGGCTTTTGTCTTCTCGGCGTTCAGAGTGAGCCTATTGAGGTTTGCCCAAGCACTTATTCTGTCAATATCTTCCTGAAGTTTTTGAGTGGCATCTGAGATATCTGTCGGATTAAAGGAGAGGTAAATTTGAATGTCGTCGGCATACAGGTGGTAGTGACAGTGCAGGATAGAGGATGGGAGGTCATTTATATAGATGGAGAAAAGGGTGGGGGATAAGGAAGAGCCTTGTGGGACGCCTCTGGTCAGAGGTAGAGATTCTGATGGTGGGTTATTAGGAATTACAACGTACTGGGAGCGACCGGTTAGGAAGGATTGGAACCAATTAAGGGAACTAGAAGAAAAAGAGATATTTTTAAGTTTGGTTAGGAGGATGTTGTGGTCTACTGAATCAAAAGCTTTGGAGAAGTCTAGGAGAATAAGGATGGTTAGTTTCTGCTGATCTATGGCTGTGTGAAGGTCTTGGGAAATTTTGATTAGGGCAGACTGAGTAGAATAACCAGGCCTGAATCCAGACTGGTAGGGATTTAGGAGATTATTGTCCTCTAAAAAATGGGATAGCTGGGATTGGACTAACCGCTCTAATGGCTTTGAGAGGTGTGAAAGGAGGGAAATCGGTCGGAAATCATTAGGAACTGATGGGTTTGAAGTCTTCTTCAATGGGCGTACTAGGGCGGTTTTCCAGGATGTAGGGAAGGTAGCATTTTGAAGAGAATAATTGTATATATGATAAAGGATCGGATGAATGGATGGCAATGCGGCTTTAATCAGTCTGACTGGGATGTTGTCGGGACCGTAATCATTGGTATGGGAGTTGTGAATGGATTTAAGGAGCTCATCTGGTGTAATATGGGAAAGAAAGAAGTGATCAGGATTAAAGGAAGAGAACATAGGAGCCAGACTGGACGTGGGAGATGTGGATGCAAGAGGACAGGAGACAAAGTGAGCGTTGAGGTTATCAGCAGAAACGGAATTGGACTGAGACTGGGGTGTATTACCAATGGTCAGTTTTCTAAGAATAGCCCACGTAGCCTTGGTATTGGGACAGTTGGATAGGGAATGATGGTAGTAACGGGATTTAGCACGGCGTACTGCTGATTGAGTGCTATTTCGAAGCTGTTTGTAGGAGAGAAAATCATCAGGAAGTCGAGTTCGTTTAAACCGTCGCCTTGCAGCATCTCTTTCTCTCATACACTCCCTCAAAGCAGGGGTAAGCCAAGGAGCTGGAGGATATCGGATGGTTTTTGTGATGAGAGGAGCATGTCGATCGAGGATAGAGTGAAGTTGAGTGGTTAGGATTTCTACCATGGTGTCTATGGATTTTGAGGAGTAGATGGGATCCCACTGGATATCGTCAAGACCTTCTGACAATGTTTCGTGAGTGAGATAATCTAGGTTTCGGAAGGATATTGTTCGGGGAGAAAAGGATGGAACAGGGACATTGTAAGAGATCTGGACAAGATCGTGGGAAGATAGAAACGGAACCGGGTGCTGAGATGCGGCAAGGAGTTTGTCTCCTTAAGTTTGTACTGTGTGTGGTTATTTATACAGAGGTTTTGATCATAACGTTTTTAGAAAAGAATATAAAATAATGAAGATAAGAATAGTTGGGGTGGTCAGTCAAAAAAGAAGGCAAAAACAAATGATAATATTTAGTTTTACATATGCCGACGCTTCGACCTGAAGTTCAGGCCTTCATCAGGGCTAAGAAAATATCCAGATAACAAGGTATGAGAAACATAAGTAGTGATGGTATTAAAAAAAAAAATAATAATAATAATAAATAAATAAATAAAATAAAAATAAATAAATATAAAGTAAAATGAAATTGTTAGAATAATGACTAAGAACTAAGAGATAAATAATAATAACCGTTACAAAGTGTGGAATGATGAAGTAGGCATAATCAAAAAGGGTGACATAAGTGTTACAATGGGAATCTTAGAATAAAATGTAAAACATAAAAAAAAAAAAAGAAATATGAAGTTACATAAGAAATTAAAATAAATAGTAAAATTAAGATATTATAAAGTCTATCAAGATGTACAGACAATTTATAATATAATAAAGAGTTAAAACAGAGAAAAGGAATGAAAGGAAGGAGGGAAGAAATAGAAAATGATTTTATTCTCGAAAAAAGTCCCTTTCGAATAACAAAAAAGTACAAAATTAAAATATAGTGTCTGGCCTAAATAAAAACAAACATAAAAAGTAAAAATGAAGAGAAATAATTAAAGAAAATATAAATTAAAAATACTATATACAAAATAATAATAAAAACCTATATACAAAATACTTAAAACCATGCCAAGACACTTAAAACTAACTACAGTGGTAAAATATAAATATACACTTTTAGGAAAAAAAAAAAAATACATTACATTCTTCTTAGTAGTAAACTCTGTGTTTCTTTTGAAAAAAAAAATAAATAAAACCGAATCTGACAGTAAGTATTTAAGTGATCATTTATATGTGAATACATCATTATGAATAATATGTTGTTTTACATAAAAGGTTAGCGGGTATCTGACTGTTTTTGGGACAGCAATGGGAATAGGAGGGTTTTAAATATAGATAGGGAGAGAATTCCAGAAATTAATACAGCGAGCAATAAAGGAGTTTTGGAACGATGCAGATCTGTGAGAAGGAGTATAAAGGTCGGAAGGTCGAGATCTTGTGGAAAGGGAGTGGACTGAGCGACTTGAACTGGTATATGTTAACAAAAATCAATACAAAAATTTATAATATTTTATAAAAAATCACAAAATCTTTACTTTTTGTCTCCGTTGTAATTTGATAAATGGTAGGAGAGAAAACCCTTTGACCAAGCTATAGGCTGATTGAAACGTTAAGGTTGTTTACATTTTAATTGTAACAGGAAAGAAGGACCATCCGTCGGCTAACATGATTAGGTAAATCCAGGATAGGTCTCCTTCCCCCCGGATACTTCCGGGTCCTTCCAGGATAGCCGGGCTGGATGGGACAAACACTTGCATCAATTAGTGAGCCAATCAATACAACTGCCGAGGGAGGGGGGTGCCTTTTCTGGTTAAAATATTGCGTGGGAGGAATTCCACTGTTGTTTCGTCTTCTTCAGTAAATAAATATTCTCGCGTTTTATTACTGTTATATATTAATATTTTTGTGGGGCCAATTTAATATTATAAAATTAATATTTAATTATTTATTTAATAATAAATTAAAATAATTAAGTGGAGACCCCCTACTCAACTACTTAGTAGACCACTACGGAGCGGGTTCGATTCTCGCATGGAGGCGGTAACATCCCCATCCTCAGATTCATTGGGAGTGAGCGACCATCATAATCTTTCCTGTTTGACTGATTTTTTTTTTTAATAAGGCAGAGCACAGAAATATTTTAATTAATCAAATCTTGGTAGAGAATTTTCTCAAGGTTCAATTATGGCCCCTTTACGACATGCCTTCATAAGTGGAATAATGCAAATAGATAGAAATGTGGCCTTTGGAGCCTCAGAAAATAATCACAAAATAAACGAATTTATATGATGAATAAATAAAAGAAAGGAACATTATTTACATTCAAACTTCAATTAAGAGAAAAATAATTAAATAAAAGTATTTAAAACAAACTAATTATTTATTTAAATAAATAGAAAATAACTTTATTCTGGGATAAAGTCCCTCTAGAATAACAAAATAGAACATAATTAAAAGACCATATCTGGCCAAAATAAAACAATAATAAGAAAACAGAAAGTAAAGAAAATATTAGTTAAACAAGCTATATACAAAAAAAAAATCTATATACAAAACACTTAAAACTATGTACAGTAGAAAAAATTATAATTATAAACTTTTGAAAAATGAAATAATAAAAAATACATTGAGTTCTTCTTTAAAATGAGGTGTGTTTCTGCTAACAAAGGAAAGACAAAGTTGACATCATCGTTGTCTAATTCTAGCTATAGGTACAGATTTAATTATATAAGAATAAAAAATAATAAAAAAACACAATATTCAGTGACATTAAGAGCAGGAAGATATTGCAATATCTCTAGTGAAGTTTACAGCATAGAATAGTACTACCGTTTGATGATGAATGGTATAATAGAAATGTATAATATCAAAAGTTTAGCAAGCATCTGACTGTTTCTGAATAGAAATTGGAATAGGAGGGTTTTGAATGTGAATATGGAGAGGGAATGCCGAATTTTGATGGGTATAGAATTCCAAAAATTGACAGCGCGAACTATAAAGGAATTTTGAAATGAGGCAGATCTGTGAGAAGGGATGTAGAGGTCAGAAGGACGAAATCTTTTTGAAAGGGAACGGACTGAGGACTTGAATTGGAGAAGGTTGTAGGCGTAAGAAGGACGAAGGATTGTTGATGATTTTATAGAGGAACGTACCTAGGAAATATTGTCTTCGAAAGGAAAAGAGCCACCTTAACTGAGTATAGTGGTGAGAAACATGACTCGGGGCACCAATAACAAATCTTACGCAGCTATTCATCAATCTTTTCATTTACTACATCTATTTACAATTTTATAAGAACTGAATAGACAAGAAGTGGTTGAACAGGCGGAATTTAAAGGTGAGGAGGGTAAAAAAAAAGTTATTCTTAGTGCTTGGCTCTTGAATAAAGTCCATTTCTTCTTCTCCTTCCTTCTACCCCGACACTCCTGAATACTCCTTGGACGTGGTTGCAGGTGCGGCTGCGAGGAGTGCGTGACCTCGCGACAAGAGGACTCGCTGCGGCACTCCAGGTCCAGGATCCACGCCTACCGGGCCTTGGCCTCCCCCTCGCTGATCGCCCTCAGCTCCAAGGACCCCATCCTCACCGCCTTCGAGCTCTCCTGGGAGCTGAGGAGGCTCAGCTTCATGGAGCACGAGTTCAAGACTGAATATCAAGTGAGTATCATTTATAGATTTATATTATATTTAATTTATATATGATTATTTATTTATCAAAACACTTTTTAATCTCACAGTCTTTTATTTTACATTTTATTTATTTATATTTTATGCAATTTGCGGCTGCGTATATAGCAAATTTGTTGTATTTATACTGTCTTGTTGTATTTGCTTGATTTTGTTTTTATCGATATATTGGTCTCAAGAGCCAATGCCATTTTCTTCTTCATCTTCATTGTTCAGCTAACAGGAAGCAGGAGATGGAAAGAACCAGAGGATTGGAGTGATTTTGGGTTGAAGAATTAAATGTAATGTATTTGTCGTGAATGTAGGATTTTACTGTTGTGGTGTTTAAGTCGTTATGTATAGTATTATTTGAAATGTACCAAGGTTAACAATTTTTCGTAAAATTTTCGATTGTGCTGTTTGTATTTTCTTTATGTGTGTTTCTTTTGCCGAATCCCAAAGTTCTGCTCCATATGTCCATATTGATCTCAGTAAGGTGTTGTAGATCAGTCGCTTGTTTCGTAAGTTAAGTGAAGATCTGTAGTCCAGAAGGTGTGAAAGTTGGCTATATCGTCTGGTAAGTTCTGGTATTTTTAATTTCGTATCTATGTTCCAAGTAAGTCTTTTGTCTAAGTAGAGTCCAAGGTACCGTACATAGTTCTTTGAAGGCATTTTTGCACTTAAACTATTATATTCTTAATCTTAGTGCATGCAAAAGTATAATTTTATTTCTAAAAAATTTAGTTCATCTACAATACACTTGTGGTATGTTTCAGACCTGGCCGGCATTTCAAATGAAATATTATAAAATCAAATACTTTTTTTGTATTTTGCATTTTAAGAAATAAAATATAAAATACATTGTTTGTACCTCATACAAAAAGAGTGTTTCTATTTTTTTTTTTCCAAGATACTAAATTATAAAATTATTATCGGATTTTATTTTGTATTTCAAACACACAATATAAATTATCAAATAGAACAGGTCCACTATATTATATAGTAATCGTCCACAAGAAAGTATTTAGTTTCCAATTTATTTAATTTAAGCCAACTTACACCAATATTTCACTAAAATTACGACGTTTCAACTTGTCGAACCATTTTCAAATCTATCATGTACTTGTCCATTATACTTCTTATGTGAAATACATTTGTCTTCTCATAATAACCAGTATCGCCATCTTCATGTCTTATTATGTGTCAACCTACAATGAAACTCAATAGCAATGAAACTGACATGTTGCTTGACACATAACAAGACATGGCCATCGTGATACTGGTTATTATTAGAAGACACATGTATTTCAAATAGAAGTATAATGGACAAAGTACATGTACTATCATGAAAGACTTGAAAATGGCTCGACGAGCCGAAACGTCGCAGTAAGATTTTTTAGTGAAAACATTGGTGTAACTTGGCTTAAAATAAATAAATTGGAAAAAAGTATTTAGTATTTTTAATTAAAATGCGAAATACTCCTAGCATTTTATATTTGAAAGATATTAGCTAAAAAGGATTTAAATATTTTTTAAATTTAAATACTCCATATTTTAAAAACACAAAATACATAGTGTTGTAAATACTGTTTTTCAAAATAACATTTAAAATATATTTTTCCTAGGTCAAATCCCTTCCCTTTCTTTTTTTTACCCATAACTCCATCAAAATGTGTCTTGAGAAGGTATTTTTGAGAAAAACATTTTGATATCTTTATGTAACCCCTTTCTGAGCATTCGCTGGTCTTTTTCATTAACGAGTCCGTTTTGATATTGTTTGCGATAAATGAAACAATTATTCAGTTGTTCGATGCATAATAATCTCATATACAAACTTATCTATTCTATAAACTTTTAGATCCATTCCGATCTCAAACTTGCAAATACATAAACAAAAGTAAAAGCAGCCTTAGAAAATGCAGATGCGGCAAAAGCTAAGCTTGGAGCTCGGGTAGTATATCAGGCTAATATATGACGTATGTTTGTCTGCAATTTCACGCCCCCTGGTCCCGAGAGAGAGCCTCTTATCATGTTGCCCAGTCGCTTTTCCTCTTGCTGAGCCGACCGGCGGATAACGGCTCTCCGACGTACCGGGGCAATCTAATATTCTGAATTACGAGGAGCTGGAGAACTCGGAAAATTCAAGATTCGAAAGATTAATTGTGTTGTAAGAATCTCTAATAGGCGCTAACTTTTAATTTCATAATAAAGCAGCAAGCACAACTTTAAAATAAGATAGTTTTTTACCCTACAAGATTTAAAAATAGTTAAAGGGAGGAGGTGACTAAAAAGGAGCTATATCTCCTTTCCTAAATTAAGGAATTTGTAACGAAAAAAAAAATAGTTCGTAAAATAATTGTTAGTTTTTTTTCATTACCTCGAAGAGGATTAGATAAATTTTTTTTTTTTTTTGTTTATTTAGAAATATTACATTCTGTCACATCAAGGACATTTATAATAGTGATCAGAGAAAGCACACTCACACTCTATTTACAATAAAAAAAAAAATAAATAATACAGAAACTTAATAATAATAAATACAATAAAATAAAATAAAAATAAATACAATAAAATAAAATAAATGTATATAAACAAAAGAACTAACCTAATCATACACACTCGGGATTGAGTGGAGGATCTGGCCATTGCCAAAACCCCAATAGATGCTTATTTACAAAAGGTCTCTGGGCCACTGCCGCTTCAACCTTCGAGGAGGATTGTAAGGATGGGTGGTGCTGGATAGAGATTGTGCAAGGGGATTTGGATGATAGGTAAGGTTTTGGTGAAATTTGGAGAATTTTTCTGGAATAAGGTCTAGGACAAATGGGATATTAAGGTCATGGTGTAGGATTTTGTTATTTACATAGAACGGAGCATCAACTATTGTTCGAAGGACTTTAGATTGAAAGGATTGAATACGTTTGATGTTAGAAGCTTTTGCTGTCCCCCACAGTTCAAGTCCGTATGTCCATATAGGTTTCAGTATTGTCTTGTAGATAAGTAATTTGTTTTCAATAGAAAGTTTGGATTTTCTGTTTAGTAGTCTGTATAGCTGGCCGTATCGTCGGTTGAGTTCTTGTCTTTTGAGTCTAGTATGTGGGTTCCACGTTAGTCTTCGGTCTAAATTAAAGCCAAGATACCGGACTGTGTCTGAGTAAGGAAGCTGGATGGAATTAAAGTGTACTGGAGATAAAATTAATTAATTAGTGTTAGTTTTAATAATAAGTATTAGTTTATAATAAGTCTTAGTTTTAAGTATTCATTTATTTGGGATCGGAATAACCAACAGATGATTGGGAGAAAAACAAAAGAGAGTTGAGAGAGAAATATCGAAACCTCGCGAGTGTTGAGGCACGCTAAGGATTTTTGTGTGAGAAATGCTTTAGTTTTACGGTGTACAGCGGATTTTTCATTTATTATCCAAGAACTTGTGATTATCAGCGACGAGTGCCGCTTGATTTTACAAGTTGGTGAATGAACATTTTCACAGCTTGAGGAGATAGACTAGGGAGACACTGACGACGCTAGCTGGAATAAGTTCCCGCTTCCTCAGATAACTCAATGTGCCAATTGGACAAAGTTCGGCGTTGAGGTTTTGTAAATATGTACATATAAGTTTTTTATTGCAATCTATTTTTTTTTTTTTTTTTTACTTGATATATTGTATAGTTGTAGGTAAATGTTTAGTTCTATAATAATTTTATATTTTTTTCTTTGACAATTAAGGTTAATTGTATTTTCTTTGTTTTCTTATGAATTTAATTTATTGTTCATAAATTTAATTTTCTTTAACAGTTATTTAAATCAATAGAAATAAGTAAATTCGTCATTAGTATTAATAATAGCCAGTTTCATTTTCTTCAGTTTGTTTTCATATTATATTGTTGTTGTTTTTTTTAGGTTTATAAAGGAATTGTAAAACCCTATTCGAGGAAATTAGGGAAACTCATTATTAACAGAGTAAGAATATTCGATAGGTTATGGCGTTAATTAACATATGTTTTTAAACCCATAAGTTCCGAGTTCGTAGCTCACTCCGCTTCCTAATCTTTTTTTTAGTAATTAAATTTATTTAATTTTTTTTTATTTTTATGGTTTCCGCCATTTTCAAAATTCAACAAATTAAATAGCGTGGCGCTCGTTAGACAGTTAGTAATATTTTATTGACTTGATTATTTTTCTTCTTTTTTTTTTCGAACCCTGCCGTCTCCACTGAGCATCCGGCAAGTTTGTTGTGGAAACAATTTTTCGAAATTAAAGACCTTAACAAATTAAAAAATTATCATTTTTGAACAAAGCCTATACCTAGGACAAACGACTCACTTGGAATCCTCATACCAGACTGAAACGACTAGAAACCGCCCGACGTTTTCGACTACTTAGATAGATAGATAGATAGAAGCGTTTATTTGTTAATGAAGTACATAATATCATTTTTTTTTTTACATATAATTAAACGATTTATCGACAATGAACTTATGTTCGTCTGTCGGGGTCGCCTAGTTTATTCGTGGAGATCTTATCTTTTAAGAATTCACAGTATTAATATAACAAGATCCCAATTGCAATATTATCTGCTTGGTTAAAAAAAAAATCATAATTTTAACTAAAAATTCTTTCTTAATATAAAAATATAAATATGCCTACATAATATACAAATATACATGAACATAAACTTAGATACCTCTTATTCTAAATTATATTCTCTCACAAATTCACATCTATAATTAGTGGATGTTATTAAATACAAATGAAGATGTCTGTAGTCTGGACCGTTTAAAATTTTCATCGTTTCCATAGTTGGACGTTTTCGACTATTACAACACTTACTAGACCAACGTTCTAAACTTCCAACTATTTACAAAAGACTCATTCAACGGAAATAAACGTTTTGAGGCCTCCAAATAACCAAGTCTCCCACAAAATGTCCATGGGCGTGTGTGTGTACCTGAATAGCCTAGCTCAAAACCGAAATTTCGTATTTAAGGTTT